AATTACGCCGTATTGTATTCGCTAAGTGATGTCATCAAAGAGGTCGCCATTTGTGTCCTCTATTTGTAAAAGGAATGGATACCCTGTTAGAATTCTAGTTAATTTTAAAGGCATGGGTCGAATGCTTTATCGGTTGAAAGCTAAGGGGGTGGTCTATATTCGTAAGTATTTAAGCTTATCTTAAAGCTGTAAAATGCCTGAAACAAGATTTGTTGAAAAGTTATTCTTTTTCTCACATCATCATTATGCAAATTAGGTCACGTGACCTCCTACGGTCGCAAAATCTCAAAAAATCTTTATTAAAAATAGCGGCAGTTTAAATTGGACATTTTTCAACTTTATTGCAACAAGACAACTTACAATATAAAAACAAGTACAAAACTCTGCTTGGCAACATTTGAATATGTAGCTGCTTATGAAAATGAACAGTTTTTTTGAATAGTACCCAGTCCCCTGTTACAAGTAATTTCTTTAATCGGACCTTTCCTTTACAATATCTTAACATTGCCAAGCACAAAAATGATATACCTAAAGGCCTTAAAACTATGCAACTAGTAAAAAAAAAAATAAGGACACAAAAAGAGTGTACCCATTTTAATTAACGGGTTTTTTTTAGCGGTGACAGGTCACGTGACTCATTTGCATAATTTGTGATAGCCAAATTGGCTAAAAATAAGAATGTGCTTGTAAGACGAAGTTTCACGCTGCTACCACAAAAGCTTCGAAAGATAGACTACCCCCTCAATTTTTCACTAAACAAGTAGAGACACATGCCTTATTTAACTTGAGAAGCAAGCAAGACGTCTTAATTATTACAAGTCTCATGAAGTCTTCAACCTTGTTTAATTTTAATTATAAACAAAATTCCTGGTTTATTTCCACTTAGGCTTTGATTAAATATTTCCTATTGTAACTATTACTTTTCATCTCTGCTTCATAGTAACCGACTGCTTTATGCCTTGTAAACGGAGATCTAGCAAGTTCAATAATTAAAAATTGTCCCTTAACAGCCAGTCATTCTAGTGGCACAAAACCGCCATGCTTGAGAGCAAAGGATCGAACTCACTGGTATGGGAAAGAAAAACAAAAGGCGTACATGATTCAACATGGTAATTTCCTCAGTGTGTCTCTTATTCTCCTGTAGGATTGCGGTTTTGTACCACGTGAATGACTAGCTGCAAAGGGCCTATTGTTTTGACCTCATAGATAGTAAAAAGTAGCCAGTCTCACGTTAGTGAATGACAACTACTGTTTGTAACTGATCGGGATCTGATTAAAGGGTTATCTTTCACAAATTGTTTTAGTACCATAAATCATTCGCTATTTTATAAGGAACTGCTACCAGTACCAAGTGGGAAACTTGTGGCGTTAAATATTGGACAACAACCTAACTTACGATGATTACATTACTAAGACCGTTTCATCATGTTTTTCTCGACTAGCTCAAATAAATCGTGTTAAACATGCATTTAATAGGAAAGTTTTAATTAATATAATTATACATTAGTATTTAGTGAACTATTATATTATTCGAACGTATGGGCAAAATATGCGTAAGTTACAATCTACATGCCGGATTATCAGCTGGGCGAAGAAGTATGAGCATATTTCTGCTTTATTAAAAGAATTAAATTGGCTCCCAGAAGAAAAATTAATCTATCTTAGAAGTGCCACTCTGGCATTTAAATGTATGACGGGCTCAGCAGCGGATTATCTTACATCTAAATTCATCACAAGCTGGAGGCTCGATTTTATTGCTCACACCAGGAGCCTTAGGGCCTGTTTACATGGAGGTGGGGACCCAGGCAGGTGAGGTAACCCGCTAAGGTTGGGTAACCCGCCTGTCGATATAATCTCTCATTTTAATTTGATCTCGTGTACATGATAGGTGGGGTGACCCGCCAAGGCAGGTAGCCCGGTCTGCCACTCCGGGTAACCCTCTCAGCCGGGGTCAAATTTTGCCCTGTAAACGTTTCAAGTTGGGGTAACACGCCTAGCCGGATTCGCGGGGATTCGTGATACTGAAATCGCGCTAAATTCACTTTGGCGGTAGCTTTTCATCATTATTAAAGGTAACAATAGAATGCTACAGCACTGAAGTTTGCAGCAAGAGCAGCAAGAGAGTGTAGAAGAGCGTGATCAATCACAAAAAACGTGGTTTTCCAGCATTTTTCTTGTTTACGTGCTCAGCGACCATTTAATAATCTTGAGAAAGTGTACCCGGGATAGCGGGGTTGTAAGATTGCATATAAAGGAGGGTTATTTTTTTACCCCACCTAAGCAGGTTACCTCACCTATCTGGATCTATCTGGGGTCCCCCACCTTCAGGTAAACAGGCCCTTATTTCGATGGTGATTAACGCTTATTGCGGTCAAGCGTTGACTATGATAGTAATTTGTTCACGCATTCCCTTGCACACCTAGAGTGTTAATTTATTCGAACCTCAAGTAACAATACAGTTCCTTTGTCACCGCTGTCAATCATAAATAAGGTTGATATCAAGGGAAGATGCATTGAATGATATACTTTTTATAAGAATTCTCTTCGCGCCAGATGTATTCGGAACGCTTTGGTCGGAATGGCTTACTCTTCCTGGCCAATATTCGCATTACATTCGAATTTCCCTTGTATATTCGTTGCCATCGTAGCTGGGATCTGCAGTTGGTGCGCGTTAGTCGGCGATAGTGAGCGTTGCTGATTATGACCCGGGATTATGATTCCCCGATGATGTGCCAACCTCGAAGGAAAAAGGTTCAATACGCTCTATGGCAGGTACGCCGGATCTTTTTATACTCTTAAACTGCACGTGCATACACACTGTATGCATATTTGCTGATGGAATAATTTGGGTTTTAAAAACCCAACAGAAACAATGATTTCGCATAATGAAGCTTTTGTGTATGTAAAATGCGCTGAGCTTTGTTGACTTTACGAATGCATATTCGATTTCTAGATAGAATTCTACGGTTTCAATCTAAGATAATCAAACGGTTAACGATGAATATTACTAAAGCACCGACGAAATGTCCTGAGAAATTATAGGAGGCTGTAGTGCTACTGCCGTGCCGAACTCAATTGATCGAATTAAATTCGACTTTAGCACGGCAGTAGCGCGACGTTTGAAACCAAGTCGTGTTACTGCCGTGTAGCACGGCATGGCTTGCCGTGCTACACGGCGATAGCTCGACTTGTTTTCAAACGTCGTGCTACCGCCGTGCCGAACTCAATTCATGAATTATAAAATACATTAGAATATATTTAAAAGTTTGCTAAACCGTTTCTTTATTTTTGTGTTTTGTTTTTGGCAACAGCTGTTCCATTCGACTGTCATTGTGTGAATTAAATTCGACGTCTGAGGCTAATGCTAATGTCGTGCTGCAGTGGAGCTACAGTCGAGCCAGCTTAGCACGGCAGTAGCACGACGTTTGAAAGAGGCCTTAGAAAGATTACGTGACACTCAAACAACTGTCTTAAATTCTTGAGCCCACATCTAGTTTCATGAATAAACAGTGTAAAGCATAGAAAAGAGCGCTTAATTCTAAATATTTTTAAACCGTAAAGTTTTGTTATATTCATTTGTAGTTGAGTGAACAAAGATATCACTCATTCTAAATATTTCAAAACGAAAAGTCTCTATATGTGGGAATTTCCTCTCCCTCTATCGGTGTACAGGCGACACGCCTAGACTTCATGAGATGATGATATCCATTTTTAGTTGACTGAATAAATATAGCGCTGATTCTATATTTCTGAAACCGAAAAGTCACTATATGTAGGGATTTCCTCTCCGTCTGTCGGTCTACAGGCGGCACGCCCAGACTTCATGAGGTGACGATATCAATTTGTAGTTGAATGAATAAATATAGTGCTAAATCTAAATATTTTAAACCGAAAGTCTTTATATGTAGGGATTTCCTCTCCCTCTATCGGTCTACAGGCGGCTTTCATGGCCTGGCACATTCCGTACAGGTAATCGCGTGTACAAAATCTGATTTGACCAGGTGTCGCCTTCGGCTTAGTCATTAAGAGGTCTGGGTACGAGATTACCCTTCCCTATACAAACCAGTGCAATTATTGATACAATTGTTTGTCAATGAGAGCATATTTAAAGTTTGTATTAGAAAAAGTTGCGGACTGAAATAGGATATATCTTTTATGAAAGACTTGTACTATTGAGATTTGAGGGACATTCTTGAATGAATCTTTTCAAAACCATCTTGCCCTGACCTTCATGAAAACGTCGTCGAAATTGTTGAGTGTTGAATTGAATCTCCAAGAAGTTAACATTTACACAACTTCCTTAGAAGGAAAATATAGCAAATTAAGAATAAGCACAAGTTGTCTTTTTTGAAGCATTTTATTGTTAATTTAACAACATGACGCTTACAATGATTCTAGACGTTACAAATCTGTGACAGATTACAGTATAAACTGATCGCGATCAGTTATAAACAATGATCTCAATATGGACTTTATGATTCACGGAAGTTACTCTAGCTGGCTACGTTGCACTAACTACTTTCAAGTAACTAGGCCTGTTGACAGAAAGTAGTAATTATTTACTATGGAGAAGAGGTGAAAAAGTAATTATAACAACTTCAAGTCTCAGTGGAAATCAACCAAGAATTTTGTTCATAATTAAACTAGAGGGCCAAAACGGCAGGTGGCAGATCGTATCATTCCATCACATCTCCTATAAAGATAATGAGACGAAAGGGAACAGAACCAAACGAGACTATTTTCCATTTGACAAAATTCGAGAGCTTTTAAGAGTTCACCTTTTCTTCATTTCAAACAGAAGCCTGATCAATGCTTCTAATAAATAATATGAATAGAAATGTGTCTGTTCTTTAACAAGAACACCATAAATAGAGCAATTTATTGTTTAAAAATCACAGGTTTTTTTCTTAACAGAGCTATATCGTTTGGTCAATAAATAATAAATAATGAACTGGTCTTCGTAGAATATTCCAGGGTGCACTGCAATCCTTTTTTCGGTTTTATAAGTTGTAGGCACAAGTGGAGACCTCTTTAATGACGTCACTTAGCGAGTAGAGAACGACGTAATTGCGGTAAATCGTCACCATGTCATCTGTAAGAGGACCTTGCTGTAGAGAGAGATTTTATTTCGGGTTAGCGACTTTTTAAGTTTTTCTCTTTCCACCCAACAAAAAAGGAAACAAAACAAATATTGAAAACTGTGTAGGTTTTTAAACGAAAACCAGTGGGTTATCGAAAGTTAACAAAAAATTCACTATTTTTTTCACAAATCCACGATTACAGAACACCCCATGCGGAAATTATTGCCGCACATTGTTTGACGTTTTTCAATTTGGATCCTCATCATTATCACCATCGTCATCGTCATCGTCATCGTTATTTTTCACTTTAGGTTTCTCTTCATTCTATCCTCAATTTTTGGTTTTAATCAAGGCGTTCCCTTTTTTTTAAATTTCATTTTACTGATGAAGGTTTTTGTTTTGTTATTTTTTTTTCAGAGAGGTAACGGTTACTTTAAATATTGCGACCAGTTACTAAAATTCCTAAAGCAGTGAGCCAGTCCCCTTGGTAAAACCGACGCACCTCGTAATCACTGAGCTATAGAAGTTAACTTTTTTCTTAAATTGAGCGTCTCGAAGTATTTTCTGCTCGCAAATTCTTAGATAGTGATAAAAATAATTTGTATAAGTGATAGCTTACCAGTAAGTTATTGTTAACAAGTGCTTGCAGATATACGCGAATGGTCTGGTTCATCGGAGCCGAAGTATTTCCAGTTACTGCAGTGGGTACAGGAAAGCCATTGCTCTGCATCTGAAAGTTTGGAAAAATGTTGACATTGTAAAAAGAGTTTTTAATGTATATAGCCATGACATTGCATATTCCTTGAACCGTATCCTATTTCGAGTTAAGTAAAACCTCCCCTATTAAGCGACTGCCCAAAATGTGAAGAGTTCGTGGTCTTTTACGAGAATCGGACCACAGGGGGTCCTTTCCAAGAGGAGATCTCGCCGGATACATCTACTTTTTGGAAGAGAATTAATTGCATGCAGTTTCTATGTTACGATATTTGTAGTTCCACGATCTCACTAAAGGCTCTTTACATAGTCTGAGCAGCGTAATGCACACAGTGAACATGGAGATGAGGCCTTGAGCCAAGCAGTCGCTTACAAGAGGTTAAAATCAATGAACAATTATTAAACCGTCAGCCCAAAAAGTGGTTGCGGTGGCTCACAAGATGTGGTCGCTTACGAGTGGTTCTTTCTATACGACTTTGACTAGGAAAACTTTGGTGGTTTGAATAGGTGGTCGCTTGCCGGAAGTGGTGGCTGACGAGTGTTGGTCGCATGTGGAGGTTCGACTGTCTATACTTGGATGTTTGGCATGTATGACATATATAGAAAAGGTAGGAGATGACGTTATTGGTAAAGAGCAGCAAGGGAGGCTTAAGACTATACAATGATTTAAAGGTATTAATTTTTTTTTTGTGGGAGTTTTATGTTTTACTTTTGTCAGAACCTTTCGCTATCCACGAAACAGTTATGTTGGGAAAGCTATTCATGATTTTTTCGCACTTTTTATTGTACTTTAAAGACCGTTAATTTCTGATTATTTTTGTTACCTCACGAATGAGCATGACAGATGAAGCATTGACGTAAGTGCTTATATCCCAGAGCACCTGAGCCAGCGAATTGTGCAGCGATCCTTGGGTTTCTTCGTAAAATAAGGCCATGTACAGCGGACTTCTGAAGATATCCATCTTTTCGTACGCGATAGTTAGATTGTCTTTCGAATTCTACAGAGAGAAAAAAGTATCAATAGGGAGCTTAAGCAACAGCGTTGTTGAGCGACGGACGTCAACCGGAAATGGACCTTTTGCATCACTGGGCAGTGGTTTGTTTGAAACTCTCGGATAAATCCTCTTCGTAAGAGAAAAGAAACTTAGCAATACAAATTTGTTAGCGTCAAGGCACATAAAAAGGGAGAAAGGCTCACTTCCGGTTGACGTGCGTCCCTCAAAAACGTCTTTGCTTAAGTTCCCCAATATGCATTACTATTTACGGAGGGTCTAGAACTGTTTAACATTATTCGCTTTTTTGTGGCAAAAACAGCTATTTCAGCAAAAGCGTCAATAAATAAATAAATAAATAAATAAACACCAAAGAGTAAGCAAGAGATTTGCTATGTTTTCACAATTCCTTTGATAGCATGTAGATGACGTGATTGTGCGAATCGTCTATTCATAACCTCATACTACAATACTTCACGAATTCATGAAATACATCAGAACGAGATTGAGTGTTTTATATAACACATATCAAGCAGTGATAAAAGAGCTGAAAATACGACGCCTTGAAGGTTTATTTTAGACGAATGTTTAGAGTGTTAAGTGTTTGACTTGGGCAAATGATTTTCAAGGAGAAATTTGGGATTGAGAAAAAAGGTTTTAGTGGTTTGAATTATTGATCCTCAAATGAAGTAAAAAGTGCCGCGGTACTAACATATTGGAGGTTTAGCAAAAGTACGTCAAATTCTTAAACAGCAGGGCGGTTGAAAGACTGAGTAGATACCTTATTGGATGTGCAAGATTGTGTGTTGACCTGAGGCGGAAACTGGCTGAAAGGGGGCTCCTCGAGATAACTTGTCGAGACAATGAACTGATAGAGACTTTTCATCTGAAAAAAAAAATTAAAGAGAGAAAAATTCTCAATTTCAAAGAATTGTTGAAGGGTACCTAAAGCAACAACAACAAAACTATATTTTTCACTGCCAGTGGGTAGGAGTGAAAGTTGACAAAAATAACAGAAACAAATAACCATCTTGTATAAACACGACACAGATTTTTCTTCAACATATTTCCTAAACCAAAAGAGTATTTGCTAAGCCCGTTCGTTCCTGGACTTTTCGTAAGAAAACTGACGCCTTTTGAAACATATACTAATTAAAATCGTTTTTCTGGTTATAGTTCAGACAGAAACACAAAATTAAAAGTCAAAAATTTAAAGAACCAAATGACTAAACCATGCAATCTGTTTTCAATCTAGAAACTGCTCTGAGTTTCTAATTGAAACTAAAGGTTCTGAATTTTTTCAGGCTTTTAACTGAAGAAATCTCATTCGGGTATACTTTGAAAAAGAAAATTGGTTTAGGCTACTTAAGTTTCGTCCACCAGTGACGTCATAAACGGAGGAGAATGATCGTAGTTCACCGCGGGCAGTTGAGGAAGATTTTTCAAGTGAATACGTTAGGACCTTTTCTTGAGAGAAATGACTTCATCTGCAATAATATTAACGCAGATTTAATTCATTCCTACCTCTTGTGTGGCGTTGGTTGTCTTCTCAGGGATCACATAAGTGACAAGGACTTGTAATGTGCTTGGTGTTGAACTTAACGGGGCGCTGAGGGTTTGTGACCTTAATGTCGCAACAATAATGGTGGCGATAAGAACCTTTGAAATTTCCATTTTTCAATCTGTCAAAAGAAAATGAAATACAATTATAAAATTGCGACAGCTATAAATTTGATGGTGAAATCTATTTCACGCACATTTCCAGAACGTCATAATTTTCTCTTCGTCAGCGATACATATAACTTTTAACATGTAACTTTTCCTTACCTTTCACTTAGTTGTCTGAAGACTCAACTTGTTTGATGTGAGAGTTAGGTTGAATGTGAGAACTGAAGTTGTGGTGTGCTTTATATGCCAACTGTAGAGGAAGACTTTAGTGGTCTTCCATCATTTTCTTTAAGGGAAATTTTTTGATTTATTTCTGCGGCAAATTCTTCTTGGTCTAAAAGTACTTCCAATCATATTATATTCTGGGAAATATTCTTTCCTACCATCACACATGGCATTCAGTAATGCTGTATACTAGATATAGATATGGACTCCGGAATGAGTAGTGCCATACCAATAAGTTCGTTTTGTGGAAGACGTAACTCAATGCAGCGTCGCATCATTTTTCTGTAAAAGGTAATCGTTTTGGATCATTCCTGTCACACATCTTTCCGTGGTTGATGTACCTCCAGTAATCATGTTATATTCTCAGAAGTATTCCGCATTATCTTTGAACATTAAAAAATTCATTAACTTTTAGTTTTAATGGGAGGCGTGTTTAAAAACAACGTAGACCTTCCGATACCGGAATCTTTGCTAAATTGAGATTTCTTCCTAAAATTTCCCATAGAACTGGTTTCTATTTTCCTGCATTTTCATAATCCATCTCTTTTCGAGACGAATTATCAGGGGTATACTTGTTTTGCTTCAGATCCAAGTGAAAGTTCCTAAATGGGAGATTATAATACTCGTCACTGGTAACGCAAGATCTGCACCAATTGTGTCAATTGTCACAGGAACTCAAGTTCGATTTAAGTCTATTATTAGCAAATGTCAGTGGATATCATATTCGATATCAGGCTGAGAATATTCCCCATAACATGAACCTTACTTAGTTGAATAGCATAACGAAGCTAAAGAAAAAGAACTGAAAGTCACAAAGTTCTTCAAGGACTTCTGTTTATTTGAGGATGGTAATATTAGGGACCTTAAGCAACAACGACGACTACGGCAGTGAAAACATGACTAAAAATATGAATTTGCGTCCTTTCAAGCTTTATCGCGTCTATTTGGAACCGCTCAATTCGTCAATTATTTTTGTCGATACTCAATATCCGGTGTAGATAACGACGTTATTGTTTTCAGCAGGTGTTCTCCCAGATACAGAAAACTGTATAAATATCAGAAAAGAGTTGAGATTTCTCAATCAGTCTAACACCTATTTGAGAGGTAGAAAGAATTTTTGCAGAGTGAGGAAACAGAAAGGTAAGCAAGATCCTTCTAAAAACTAAACTATTAAAGAAACTGGGAGACGTTGTTAGACCTGAATTCAAAAGCTCAGTATATTATGGTAGTTAATTTACAGCCATAATCAAGAAAAACTGAATGCTCTCAGACTTATATCGAATTTCATATTGACTGACAATTCCTAAAGCTGAGATTTTTATGTTACTTGTGACGAGTGTTCTAATCATCTCATAACTGAGACTCTACTTGTGTACGTATCCATTTTTATTATATGGAGGAGAGTGTTTTACTGGGAACTAAACCACTCGTAGATTCCATACGCCACTTCATCCGGGACCCGAGTGGCGTATTTTCCGTATGTCACCTTTGTGAGTGTCGTATCGTTCAATGACGTCACGATTCCCGCCTTTTGCTTTTGTTGAATTGGTTTCTCCATATAATAAAAAGAACATTACACGTTGGCTCGAAGATATGAATTTTTATGTTCTCGTGGCAAGAACAATATCTCACTCGTTCGCTTCGCTCACTCGTGAGATATTGTTCTTGCCACTCGAACATAAAATTCATATCTTCTCGCCACCGTGTAATATCCTCTATCTACATGCCACCGGACAAATGTCTAACCCTTTTTAAGTGCTCCGGTAAGATGTTTTACTCCGTTTTTACCTTTGGATTTTATTCTCTTCGTACAGACTAAAAATGGAAATTTCAAAGATTCTTATGGCCACCATCGTTGCTGCAACATTGATGTCACAAACTCACAGCGCTTCACTACAAGTGCGTGTCACCGACGTGATTCCGCAGAAGACTGCCAACGCCATACAAAAGGTATCAATGAGCTATTTGGTTCGTTTTCCTAGATGAAGTCCTTACTCTCAGTTAAAGGTCATTAAGCTAATTCTAACAGAGATAGCAATATAAGAAATTTATTCAACATATCTTACGTACAGGTTTCCCCTTGAGAACGAAACTTAATAAAGCCAAAGCAAATTCATGAAAGGTAAAAGTGGAAGAAAAAGCAAAACGTTTTGAGAGGAAAAAAAAAGACAATTCGAACAACTGTCAACCGAAAGGTTGGGCCCTTTGTCAGTTGTTTCGTTTTGTCTCCGACGATGATGAACTAGTGGCCCGGGTTGAGAAAGCGAATTGAACAAAACCTTCGTCTCGTTTACAATTATGACAAAGACGGGTAAAGTCCCTTGCTCTGTTTTAGTTTTCTGTTGACAATTATTACCAATAGTTAATAATTTTCAACTATATTTATTTAGATGAGAAACCTTAATCAGTTCATCACCTCTTCAAGCTACGTCCAAGAGCCACCTTTTGCCAATTTTCCACCACAAATCAACGCACAATCCTGCACGTCAAAACAGGTACCGTTAGAACCTCCATCTCAGTAACCTGCCATCAGGCGGTCCTTCTTTCCTTTTTGTTTCGTCCTTTTTTTCCCCTTTCTTTGAAAAAAAAAAAAAACAGACAAAAAAACAAAAAAACAAAACAAAACAAAAAAACAAGAAACGCCTGATGGCAGGTTACCATCACAGCTATGTACCGACTGATCAGGCCAGTATTACACTCTTGCTAAAATTCTGATATGTTACTCATTGCAGTCTTTGTATGTCACATCGTAAACGTATTAATAACTAAAAAGATAAAGACATCGAGACGTGTTCGGAAAAAATCCCTGTTTTTGTATTCTGAAAATTCTCCGGGAAAATCATTTGTCTAACAATCAAGAGGGCTTATGGCACAATGTCAAACAACTCACAGTTCGAGTAAAGACTCAGTAAAATAATTTTCTTCGCGTCGTATTTTGAACTCTTTTCTCGGTGCTAGATATGTGACATTGTCTCGTGTTTTATATACCACATAAGTATCGTATGTTACGATTCGTGCAACACTTCATTTACATGTTACCACAAGAACTGCGATAATGATAACAGAAAAAAAACAAACGGCAAGTGAAGAATTTCCATGTCAGTCTCACTCTTTCATATTATAAACAAGTTTATTTCCTTATTCTTTATTTTTGAAGTAGGTTTGGTTACATATCTTTTCATTGTTAATGTCTTTGTTGTTAATTGTCACAAAATATGGAATTAAAAATTACAGCTACACCATCCGTAAGGAAAACATTTAGAGACTATTCTTTTTTTGTAGTTGTTGAAAGACAATCTCACTATCGCGTACGAGAAAGTAAGCATCTTCATACGTCCGCTGTACATGGCCTTATCTTATGAAAAAACCCAAGGACCGCTGCACAGTCCGCTGGCTCAGGTGCTCTCGGAAATACACACAAACGTCAATGCTTCATCCGTCATGCTCAGTCGTAAGGTAACAAAAACAACCAGATTTTTTTCTCGAATTTAGCTACTACCATATGAAAAAAAATCATTAACACTTTTTCCTAAACCTCGCTGCTCCTTTTTTGGTGATAGCAGACGTTAACATTTCTTCAAACGTTTCAGATGGTAAAAAATGGCTTTCATGTACCCACTGTCTCAAATGGAAATTCTACGGCGCAGATGAACCAGACAATTCGCGTATATCTCCAAGCACTTGCTAACAGCAACTTGCTGGTAAGCTATCCCTTCATCCAAGAAGATATTTTGTTGATAATTACCTGAGAAATGATGAGCAAAAAATACTTGGAGATCATCAATTTCGAAACATAGTAAGATTTTAGCCCAGCAGTATCGATTGATTACAAGGTGTGGAATTGGGACGTTAAGGAGACTAGCCCATGTCGGTAATTCTGCTCAGTATACTGAAAATAACTCTCATAACATTTTGAAAATAACTCTGGCTTACGACAGTTCAATACCCCACCACCCCTCCCTCAAAAAAAGACAAGAAAATCTTTTAACTGTAAAACTAAAATCAAGGAAATTTAGAACAGTTTGAATGAAACAATGGTGGAGAGGATTTTAAAAAAATGAATTCGGACAAAGTTCACCATCAAAGATGGAAATGATGATGATGATGACAGTGGTGTTGGTGGTGGTGGTGGTTTTAAATATAAAATCAATTGTTTTACAGTATGATTTATAATGTTGGGAAGAAACTTCTACATGTATCTGTTGTATAGCCGTGATTTTATGAATGAAACGCTTTTTCTTTACCAATAAGAACAAACTGTAATATATAATGGTCTGGCTTTTTAAAGTTGAAAAACGCGTGGCTAGCCGATCATTCATGCAAAGGTATGCTTAATTGGCTTGATAAACACTTCCACGTTTTTTTCAAATTTTGACAGGGAAAATCCGTCGACACGACTGGAAATATAAACAATTAGTATATATGTTGTATTTAATTTTTCATCACAGGTAATTTTTCTTTTTCTTTTGTTTTTGGCTATGTTAATGTATGCTAATGGTGTTGAAACAAAAGAAAAATAAAATTTACTTTGTCACTGTTTTGTGAACTCGGGATTTCCTCGCAAGACCAATTAGAAGTTAGTTTATGGATAAAAAAAGAAGTCAAGTAATTTCGAAAATTGTACGTGCCAGCAAGTTGACAAGGCAAAGAACACTGTATATAAACAACACTAACCACGATAGTGGCCGCTATTGACAGCATTTGCAAGAAGCGACAAAAAAAACCTTTCTCATTCGCGTTGAGTTGACGAAAGCCAATAAAGCTCTACGTTTCTTCTCAGAAGGAATAGTAATTTAAACTTCCGACGTTTTCTTTTTTAAAAACCATTGATGCTAAAGCTTACAAAAAGATTAAAACTATGATTTGCCATGTTTGAAGATACTGTAAAGATCTAACGTTTGCGAACGTTAGGCTCAGTTAATATTGTTGAATAATCCCCTCGACTTCTTGTCGGTGATTATTCAACATCATTAACTTCGCCTTCACCCGCGAATAATCCTTAAATACAAACGTCTGTAAATTTCTAGACTTTGTGGTGCAATATCTTTGCTCGCTTTGGACGTATCAACTTTAAAGTTGGTAAGGTTTCCTAACTTTAAGGCGCTTTTTCCAGCAGTGTCCATGGATATTCTCTTTCTGCTTTTTACAAAACTTGAAGTAATGGTAGGGCCGATTGCATTATGTCAGGATAAAATGAAGCTGTTTCAATTGTCGTCTGAAATAAAAACTGTTCTCTTTACAGACAGGACCTGTTACGAATGACATGGTGACGATTTACCGGAATTACGCCGTATTGTATTCGCTAAGTGATGTCATCAAAGAGGTCGCCATTTGTGTCCTCTATTTGTAAAAGGAATGGATACCCTGTTAGAATTCTAGTTAATTTTAAAGGCATGGGTCGAATGCTTTATCGGTTGAAAGCTAAGGGGGTGGTCTATATTCGTAAGTATTTAAGCTTATCTTAAAGCTGTAAAATGCCTGAAACAAGATTTGTTGAAAAGTTATTCTTTTTCTCACATCATCATTATGCAAATTAGGTCACGTGACCTCCTACGGTCGCAAAATCTCAAAAAATCTTTATTAAAAATAGCGGCAGTTTAAACTGGACATTTTTCAACTTTATTGCAACAAGACAACTTACAATATAAAAACAAGTACAAAACTCTGCTTGGCAACATTTGAATATGTAGCTGCTTATGAAAATGAACAGTTTTATTGAATAGTACCCAGTCCCCTGTTACAAGTAATTTCTTTAATCGGACCTTTCCTTTACAATATCTTAACATTGCCAAGCGCAAAAATGATATACCTAAAGGCCTTAAAACTATGCAACTAGTAAAAAAAAAATAAGGACACAAAAAGAGTGTACCCATTTTAATTAACGGTTTTTTTTTAGCGGTGACAGGTCACGTGACTCATTTGCATAATTTGTGATAGCCAAATTGGCTAAAAATAAGAATGTGCTTGTAAGACGAAGTTTCACGCTGCTACCACAAAAGCTTCGAAAGATAGACTACCCCCTCAATTTTTCACTAAACAAGTAGAGACACATGCCTTATTTAACTTGAGAAGCAAGCAAGACGTCTTAATTATTACAAGTCTGATGAAGTCTTCAACCTTGTTTAATTTTAATTATAAACAAAATTCCTGGTTTATTTCCACTTAGGCTTTGATTAAATATTTCCTATTGTAACTATTACTTTTCACCTCTGCTTCATAGTAACCGACTGCTTTATGCCTTGTAAACGGAGATCTAGTAAGTTCAATAATTAAAAATTGTCCCTTAACAGCCAGTCATTCTAGAGGCACAAAACCACCATGCTTGAGAGCAAAGGATCGAACTCACTGGTATGGGAAAGAAAAACAAAAGGCGTACATGATTCAACATGGTAATTTCCTCAGTGTGTCTCTTATTCTCCTGTAGGATTGCGGTTTTAATTTGTACCACGTGAATGACTAGCTGCAAAGGGCCTATTGTTTTGACCTCATAGATAGTAAAAAGTAGCCAGTCTCACGTTAGTGAAAGACAACTACTGTTTGTAACTGATCGGGATCTGATTAAAGGGTTATCTTTCACAAATTGTTTTAGTACCATAAATCATTCGCTATTTTATAAGGAACTGCTACCAGTACCAAGTGGGAAACTTGTGGCGTTAAATATTGGACAACAACCTAACTTACGATGATTACATTACTAAGACCGTTTCATCATGTTTTTCTCGACTAGCTCAAATAAATCGTGTTAAACATGCATTTCATAGGAAAGTTTTAATTAATATAATTATACATTAGTATTTAGTGAACTATTATATTATTCGAACGTATGGGCAAAATATGCGTAAGTTACAATCTACATGCCGGATTATCAGCGGGGCGAAAAAGTATGACCATATTTCTCCTTTATTAAAAGAATTAAATTGGCTCCCAGAAGAAAAATTAATCTATCTTAGAAGTGCCACTCTGGCATTTAAATGTATGACGGGCTCAGCAGCGGATTATCTTACATCTAAATTCATTCCAAGCTGGAGGCTCGATTTTATTGCTCACACCAGGAGCCTTAGGGCCTGTTTACATGGAGGTGGGGACCCAGGCAGGTGAGGTAACCCGCTAAGGTTGGGTAACCCGCCTGTCCATATAATCTCTCATTTTAATTTGATCTCGTGTACACGATAGGTGGGGTGACCCGCCAAGGCAGGTAGCCCGGTCTGCCACTCCGGGTAACCCTCTCAGCCGGGGTCAAATTTTGCCCTGTAAACGTTTCAAGTTGGGGTAACACGCCTAGCCGGATTCGCGGGGATTCGTGATACTGAAATCGCGCTAAATTCACTTTGGCGGTAGCTTTGCATCATTATTAAAGGTAACAATAGAATGCTACAGCACTGAAGTTTGCAGCAAGAGCAGCAAGAGAGTGTAGAAGAGCGTGATCAATCACAAAAAACGTGGTTTTCCAGCATTTTTCTTGTTTACGTGCTCAGCGACCATTTAATAATCTTGAGAAAGTGTACCCCGGGATAGCGGGGTTGTAAGATTGCATATAAAGGAGGGCTATTTTTTTACCCCACCTAAGCAGGTTACCTCACCTATCTGGATCTATCTGGGGTCCCCCACCTTCATGTAAACAGGCCCTTATTTCGATAGTGATTAACGCTTATTGCGGTCAAGCGCTGACCATGATAGTAATTTGTTCACGCATTCCCTTGCACACCTAGAGTGTTAATTTATTCGAACCTCAAGTAACAATACGGTTCCTTTGTCACCGCTGTCAATCATAAATAAGGTTGATATCCAGGGAAGATGTATTGAATGATATACTTTTTATAAGAATTCCCTTCGCGCCAGATACATTCGGAACGCTTTGGTCGGAATGGCTTACTTTTCCTGGCCAATATTCGCATTACATTCGAATTTCCGTTGTATATTCCTTGCGATCGTAGCTGGGATCTGCAGTTGGTGCGCGTTAGTCAGCGTTAGTGAGCGTTGTTGATTATGACTAGGGATTATGATTCCCCGATGATGTGGCAACCTCGAAGGAAAAAGGTTCAATACAGTCTATGGCAGGTACGGATCTTTTTATATTCTCAAACTGCACGTGCATACACACTGTATGCATATTTGCTGATCGAATAATTTGGGTTTTAAAAACCCAACAGAAACAATGATTTCGGATAATGAAGCTTTTGTGTATGTAAAATGCGCTGAGCATGGTTGACTTTACGAATGCATATTCGATTTCTAGATAGAATTCTACGGCTTCAATCTAAGATAATCAAATGGTTAACGATGAATATTACTAAAGCACCGACGAAATGTCCTGAGAAATTATAGGAGGCTGTAGTGCTACTGCCGTGCCGAACTCAATTGATCGAATTAAATTCGACTTTAGCACGGCAGTAGCGCGACGTTTGAAACCAAGTCGTGTTACTGCCGTGTAGCACGGCATGGCTTGCCGTGCTACACGGCGATAGCTCGACTTGTTTTCAAACGTCGTGCTACCGCCGTGCCGAACTCAATTCATGAATTATAAAATACATTAGAATATATTTAAAAGTTTGCTAAACCGTTTCTTTATTTTTGTGTTTTGTTTTTGGCAACAGCTGTTCCATTCGACTGTCATTGTGTGAATTAAATTCGACGTCTGAGGCTAATGCTAATGTCGTGCTGCAGTGGAGCTACAGTCGAGCCAGCTTAGCACGGCAGTAGCACGACGTTTGAAAGAGGCCTTAGAAAGATTACGTGACACTCAAACAACTGTCTTAAATTCTTGAGCCCACATCTAGTTTCATGAATAAACAGTGTAAAGCATAGAAAAGAGCGCTTAATTCTAAATATTTTTAAACCGTAAAGTTTTGTTATATTCATTTGTAGTTGAGTGAACAAAGATATCACTCATTCTAAATATTTTAAAACGAAAAGTCTCTATATGTGGGGATTTCCTCTCCCTCTATCGGTGTACAGGCGACACGCCTAGACTTCATGAGATGAGATGATGATATCCGTTGATTTTAGTTGACTGAAAATAAATATCTGTCGCTAAATCTAAATATTTTGAAAACCGAAAGTCTTTAAATATTTTGTAGGGATTTCCTCTCCCTCTATCGGTCTACAGGCGGCTTTCATGGCCTGGCACATTCCGTACAGGTAATCGCGTGTACAAAATCTGATTTGACCAGGTGTCGCCTTCGGCTTCGTCATTAAGAGGTCTGGGTACGAGATTACCCTTCCCTATACAAACCAGTGCAATTATTGATACAATTGTTTGTCAATGAGAGCATATTTAAAGTTTGTATTAGAAAAAGTTGCGGACTGAAATAGGATATATCTTTTATGAAAGACTTGTACTATTGAGATTTGAGGGACATTCTTGAGTGAATCTTTTCAAAACCATCGTGCCCTGACCTTCATGAAAACGTCGTCGAAATTGTTGAGTGTTGCATTGAATCTCCAAGAAGTTAACATTTACACAACTTCCTTAGAAGGAAAATATAGCAAATTAAGAATAAGCACAAGTTGTCTTTTTTGAAGCATTTTATTGTTAATTTAACAACATGACGCTTACAATGATTCTAGACGTTACAAATCTGTGACAGATTACAGTATAAACTGATCGCGATCAGTTATAAACAATGATCTCAATATGGACTTTATGATTCACGGAAGTTACTCTAGCTGGCTACGTTGCACTAACTACTTTCAAGTAACTAGGCCTGTTGACAGAAAGTAGTAATTATTTACTATGGAGAAGAGGTGAAAAAGTAATTATAACAACTCCAAGTCTCAGTGGAAATCAACCAAGAATTTTGTTCATAATTAAACTAGAGGGCCAAAACGGCAGGTGGCAGATCGTATCATTCCATCACATCTCCTATAAAGATAATGAGACGAAAGGGAACAGAACCAAACGAGACTATTTTCCATTTGACAAAATTCGAGAGCTTTTAAGAGTTCACCTTTTCTTCATTTCAAACAGAAGCCTGATCAATGCTTCTAATAAATAATATGAATAGAAATGTGTCTGTTCTTTAACAAGAACATCATAAATAGAGCAATTTATTGTTTAAAAATCACAAGTTTTTTTCTAAACAGAGCTATATCGTTTGGTCAATAAATAATAAATAATGAATTGGTCTTCGTAGAATATTCCAGGGTGCACTGCAATCCTTTTTTCGGTTTTATAAGTTGTAGACACAAGTGGAGACCTCTTTAATGACGTCACTTAGCGAGTAGAGAACGACGTAATTGCGGTAAATCGTCACCATGTCATCTGTAAGAGGACCTTGCTGTAGAGAGAGATTTTATTTCGGGTTAGCGACTTTTCAAGTTTTTCTCTTTCCACCCAACAAAAAAGGAAACAAAACAAATATTGAAAACTGTGTAGGTTTTTAAACGAAAACCAGTGGGTTATCGAAAGTTAACAAAAAATTCACTATTTTTTTCACAAATCCACGATTACAGAACACCCCATGCGGAAATTATTTCCGCACATTGTTTGACGTTTTTCAATTTGGATCCTCATCATTATCACCATCGTCATCGTCATCGTTATTTTTCACTTTAGGTTTCTCTTCATTCTATCCTCAATTTTTGGTTTTAATCAAGGCGTTCCCTTTTTTTTAAATTTCATTTTACTGATGAAGGTTTTTGTTTTGTTATCTTTTTTTTCAGAGAGGTAAAGGTTACTTTAAATATTGCGACCAGTTACTAAAATTCCTAAAGCAGTGAGCCAGTCCCCTTGGTAAAACCGACGCACCTCGTAATCACTGAGCTATAGAGTTAACTTTTTTCTTAAATTGAGCGTCTCGAAGTATTTTCTGCTCGCAAATTCTTAGATAGTGATAAAAATAATTTGTATAAGTGATAGCTTACCACTAAGTTATTGTTAACAAGTGCTTGCAGATATACGCGAATGGTCTGGTTCATCAGAGCCGAAGTATTTCCAGTTACTGCAGTGGTTACAGGAAAGCCATTGCTCTGCATCTGAAAGTTTGGAAAGATGTTGACATTGTAAAAAGAGTTTTTAATGTATATAGCCATGACATTGCATATTCCTTGAACCGTATCCTATTTCGAGTCAAGTAAAACCTCCCCTATTAAGCGACTGCCCAAAATGCGAAGAGTTCGTGGTCTTTAACGAGAATCGGACCACAGGGGGTCCTTTCCAAGAGGAGATCTCGCCGGATACATCTACTTTTTGGAAGAGAATTAATTGAATGCAGTTTCTATGTTACGATATTTGTAGTTCCACGATCTCACTAAAGGCTCTTTACATAGTCTGAGCAGCGTAATGCACACAGTGAACATGGAGATGAGGCCTTGAGCCAAGCAGTCGCTTACAAGAGGTTAAAATCAATGAACAATTATTAAACCGTCAGCCCAAAAAGTGGTTGCGGTGGCTCACAAGATGCGGTCGCTTACGAGTGGTTCTTTCTATACGGCTTTGACTAGGAAAACTTTGGTGGTTTGAATAGGTGGTCGCTTGCCGGAAGTGGTGGCTGACGAGTGTTGGTCGCATGTGGAGGTTCGACTGTCTATACTTGGATGTTTGGCATGTATGACATATATAGAAAAGGTAGGAGATGACGTTATTGGTAAAGAGCAGCAAGGGAGGCTTAAGACTATACAATGATTTAAAGGTATTAATTTTTTTTTGTGGGAGTTTTATGTTTTACTTTTGTCAGAACCTTTCGCTATCCACGAAACAGTTATGTTGGGAAAGCTATTCATGATTTTTTCGCACTTTTTATTGTACTTTAAAGACAGTTAATTTCTGATTATTTTTGTTACCTCACGACTGAGCATGACAGATGAAGCATTGACGTAAGTGCTTATATCCCAGAGCACCTGAGCCAGCGAATTGTGCAGCGATCCTTGGGTTTCTTCGTAAAATAAGGCCATGTACAGCGGACTTCTGAAGATATCCATCTTTTCGTACGCGATAGTTAGATTGTCTTTCGAATTCTACAGAGAGAAAAAAGTATCGATAGGGAGCTTAAGCAACAGCGTTGTTGAGCGACGGACGTCAACCGGAAATGGACCTTTTGCATCACTGGGCAGTGGTTTGTTTGAAACTCTCGGATAAATCCTCTTCGTAAGAGAAAAGAAACTTAGCAATACAAATTTGTTAGCGTCAAGGCACATAAAAAGGGAGAAAGGCTCACTTCCGGTTGACGTGCGTCCCTCAAAAACGTCTTTGCTTAAGTTTCCCAATATGCATTACTATTTACGGAGGGTCTAGAACTGTTTAACATTATTCGCTTTTTTGTGGCAAAAACAGCTATTTCAGCAAAAGCGTCAATAAATAAATAAATAAATAAACACCAAAGAGTAAGCAAGAGATTTGCTATGTTTTCACAATTCCTTTGATAGCATGTAGATGACGTGATTGTGCGAATCGTCTATTCATAACCTCATACTACAATACTTCACGAATTCATGAAATACATCAGAACGAGATTGAGTGTTTTATATAACACATATCAAGCAGTGATAAAAGAGCTGAAAATACGACGCCTTGAAGGTTTTATTTTAGACGAATGTTTAGAGTGTTAAGTGTTTGACTTGGGCAAATGATTTTCAAGGAGAAATTTGGGATCGAGAAAAAAGGTTTTAGTGGTTTGAATTATTGATCCTCAAATGAAGTAAAAAGTGCCGCGGTACTAACATATTGGAGGTTTAGCAAAAGTACGTCAAATTCTTAAACAGCAGGGCGGTTGAAAGACTGAGTAGATACCTTATTGGATGTGCAAGATTGTGTGTTGACCTGAGGCGGAAACTGGCTGAAAGGGGGCTCCTCGAGATAACTTGTCGAGACAATGAACTGATAGAGACTTTTCATCTGAAAAAAAAAATTAAAGAGAGAAAAATTCTCAATTTCAAAGAATTGTTGAAGGGTACCTAAAGCAACAACAACAAAACTATATTTTTCACTGCCAGTGGCTAGGAGTGAAAGTTGACAAAAATAACAGAAACAAATAACCATCTTGTATAAACACGACACAGATTTTTCTTCAACATATTTCCTAAACCAAAAGAGTATTTGCTAAGCCCGTTCGTTCCTGGACTTTTCGTAAGAAAACTGACGCCTTTTGAAACATATACTAATTAAAAACGTTTTTCTGGTTATAGTTCAGACAGAAACACAAAATTAAAAGTCAAAAATTTAAAGAACCAAATGACTAAACCATGCAATCTGTTTTCAATCTAGAAACTGCTCTGAGTTTCTAATTGAAACTAAAGGTTCTGAATTTTTTTCAGGCTTTTAACTGAAGAAATCTCATTCGGGTATACTTTGAAAAAGAAAATTGGTTTAGGCTACTTAAGTTTCGTCCACCAGTGACGTCATAAACGGAGGAGAATGATCGTAGTTCACCGCGGGCAGTTGAGGAAGATTTTTCAAGTGAATACGTTAGGACCTTTTCTTGAGAGAAATGACTTCATCTGCAATAATATTAACGCAGATTTAATTCATTCCTACCTCTTGTGTGGCGTTGGTTGTCTTCTCAGGGATCACATAAGTGACAAGGACTTGTAATGTGCTTGGTGTTGAACTTAACGGGGCGCTGAGGGTTTGTGACCTTAATGTCGCAACAATAATGGTGGCGATAAGAACCTTTGAAATTTCCATTTTTCAATCTGTCAAAAGAAAATGAAATACAATTATAAAATTGCGACAGCTATAAATTTGATGGTGAAATCTATTTCACGCACATTTCCAGAACGTCATAATTTTCTCTTCGTCAGCGATACATATAACTTTTAACATGTAACTTTTCCTTACCTTTCACTTAGTTGTCTGAAGACTCAACTTGTTTGATGTGAGAGTTAGGTTGAATGTGAGAACTGAAGTTGTGGTGTGTTTTATATGCCAACTGTAGAGGAAGACTTAAGTGGTCTTCCATCATTTTCTTTAAGGGAAATTTTTTGATTTATTTCTGCGGCAAATTCTTAATAGTCTAAAAGTACTTCCAATCATATTATATTCTGGGAAATATTCTTTCCTACCATCACACATGGCATTCAATAATGCTGTATACTAGATATAGATATGGACTCCGGAATGGGTAGTGCCATACCAATAAGTTCGTTTTGTGGAAGACGTAACTCAATGCAGCGTCGCATCATTTTGCTGTAAAAGGTAATCGTTTTGGATCATTCCTGTCACACATCTTTCCGTGGTTGATGTACCTCCAGTAATCATGTTATATTCTCAGAAGTATTCCGCATTATCTTTGAACATTAAAAAATTCATTAACTTTTAGTTTTAATGGGAGGCGTGTTTAAAAACAACGTAGACCTTCCGATACCGGAATCTTCGCTAAATTGAGATTTCTTCCTAAAATTTGCCATAGAACTGGTTTCTATTTTCCTGCATTTTCATAATCCATCTCTTTTCGAGACGAATTATCAGGGGTATACTTGTTTTGCTTCAGATCCAAGTGAAAGTTCCTAAATGGGAGATTGTAATACTCGTCACTGGTAACGCAAGATCTGCACCAATTGTGTCAATTGTCACAGGAACTCAAGTTCGATTTAAGTCTATTATTAGCAAATGTCAGTGGATATCATATTCGATATCAGGCTGAGAATATTCCCCATAACATGAACCTTACTTAGTTGAATAGCATAACGAAGTTAAAGAAAAAGAACTGAAAGTCACAAAGTTCTTCAAGGACTTCTGTTTATTTGAGGATGGTAATATTAGGGACCTTAAGCAACAACGACGACGACGGCAGTGAAAACATGACTAAAAATATGAATTTGCGTCCTTTCAAGCTTTATCGCGTCTATTTGGAACCGCTCAATTGGTTGAATGTGGGGGACTTTTCCTGGAGTTGAATTCTTAACGGATTTACCCACGTTCATTAAAACAGAGAAAGGAAAATTTGTCGTCGTATGGGAGGTTTCACGTCGTAGTCGTGCAGTGGGCGTCAAAGACTATGTACTAAAAAGCGTGATGCAAGTGCAGAGCAGTTGTTTTGCTCATAAAACCAAATGTTTTTTGACAATGATGTTATCGTCTTCTTCGTAGTCGCTTAAGGTCCCTATTGTTTTATGTGAGGCTAATCCAAGAAAAACTTAATCATCTTATAGGGTCCTAGAGGATTAGAGCGAACTGGAATTAGACAGTGTGTTTATGTAAACAACAGTTGGTGATAGAGAGAAACACTTATATAGGTTCTTGGTCATTTAAGGTTAGCTGACTGACATATTTAAATGTGGCCCAATATTGATAATGGCCGAAGCAATGCCAGGGATCTAAATTCTGTGTTTATGTTTGACCAATTACCACTTCGTTGGCTAGTTGTGTTGAAATAATAAATCGTAAGACAGATTTGCAGCATTCTGATTATTTTTTTATTATAAGAATTGTTATTATTACTACTTTGTCGTTGACATCTCGAGGTGACAAATTATGCCCTAAGGAAACAAAAACTTTGTCGGAAAAGAGATAAACCCCTAATTTTTGTAGGAAAGCCCCGCCAATTGAGGACGTATTTGGTAGCTACAAACTTGAAAAAAAAAAGGAGCAATTGAGGACGTACTTGGCAGCTACAAACTTGAAAAAAAAAGGAGAACAAACTCCGCTTCCCCTCTCCATCACCGACCCCCGAAATTATGGAAGAAGCCACTGCAACCTCGTTCCCAGGGTTCTCTCCTACCCGCTTTACGGAGCGAGGGATGTACCTTTTTTCCATTCATCACTTTTGACACGCGAGTTAATAAAACCAATTTCAAGGCGATGAAAAAAAGTGCCATTTTTTTTTTACCTCTACACAGCCTTGTCAGGACCAAAATAAAAACAGAATACAAGAGTGTAACGGCTAGAAAATAGAAGAAACGGTGCCTGTGGGAAATACTAGAGCAGAAAAAATACAATAATATTTAAAATAACCCGACCAACATCTTTTCTTAGTGAGCCTGGTTGGCCAGGCAGGAGCACCCAACGAGAATATAGTTCAAAACCACTTAAACATAGCATTATTAAATGTATTTTAGTATTTACATGGTAGATATAGGCATATTTTTATCCCCTAAAAATTTTTCATCTGTTCGGATTTCCTAGCTGAAAGTCTAGTGATCCGAAAATTATAGGGATCAAAACTTACCTTTTCGAACATTTTAGCCAGAAAATAGGCTCCCGAAAATGCTAGGTGAAGTTTTCAGGGTAAATATTATTTAAAAATGGGCAAGTATACCATTTATTATTTGTTCGAAAATCCTAGGAGAGGTATGCAAGCAAGAAAGTTTACAACAAATGTTCCGAAAATTCTAGATCTCAAATCGTCTTCCGAACAGATATTTTTCCGAAAATTGTCGTTGGGTGCCCCTGGCCAGGCTCTCATTAACCATAACATCATGTATAAATACCGAACATTTTGTAATCGCTTAAACAACTTTACCTTTTTTTTCCCTGAGTAATATGGAATACCACGTCTTGCTTGCATTTACCGGGGTGTAATGCAATCGTTTTTTCCTTTTATAAATAGAAGACACAAGTGACGACCTCTTTAATGACGTTTCTTAGCGAGTAGAGAAGGACGTAATTGCGGTAAATCGTCACCATGTCATCTGTAAGAGGAACTTGCTGTGAAGAAAATGGATTTCATTTCAAGATAACTCTTGAAAATAGGTGTAACCATAGAATGCGAGCAGTCTCTTATTTTTCTTTGCAAAGTTACTGATCGCGCTGGATGAGATAAGAACTAGACGGATTTTAAGAGAAAAGGCCGACTGCAAGCAGTCTAGTGTAACCACATTACCGTTACACTTAATCCACATCGTACCTACATGAGGTAACTAAGCGCACCATTACAGTTTTCGAGAACGACCATTCAGCTCAGTAGCACAAGTTATTTGATTTTTCTTATTCCCTGCGTAAACTAAAGTCAAATTTTGCCCAAAAGTGACTCATTAAGGAGTTAATTAACAGTAATCTACTTAATTTTTCTTGGGCACTCAGTAATGGTCTTCTATTGATTTTTGTTCTATATTTCATCATTCAAAACACCGTTCTTTGGTACGAGAAGTGATTATCTTACCAGCAAGTTACCTTGAACCAGTGTTTGGTGGTACACACGAATGATGTGGTTCATCTGTGCCGTAAAATTTCCAGTTGCAGTGGTTGGTACAGGGAAGGTGTTCTTTTGCATCTGAAAAGTTTTCAAAAGATGTTCAGACTTATCAGACTTATTTTGAATGAACTTAATCGCTTAATCGCTGTCCAATAGATAGCGCAATTGGTTTTCTGATACTTGTCCACTGGATAGTGATTTATCCGATGGATAGCGCTACCCAGCTACTCAACAACTAGGGCCTGGAGGGGAATAAAAATAAGAAATTATCTATTTCGCTTTGCATCTTATCTTTCAAAATAAATGATGGCCTAAGGGGTTTTCACGATATGCGGTGAAAACAGAGAGAAAATATGGATAGCTTTCAGGCTTCAAAAGTGAAATGTTTTAATCATATGCGAAATACCTTGTCGGGTTTCCTTGTGCCGTTTCCTTTGGACTACCTCTAAACCTCGGGAAAAATACATGTGGCAAATTTATTTTAAAATAAATCACTTTAAACTAGTATCTCATTCTTGGCCTGCAAAAAATGTGCTCCGTGTTTGGGTCACTTATTTCGAAAAGGTTACATAATAATTCAATTCAAATCAAAATTTTGTTACCGCACGATTAAGCATTTCAGATGTCCCATTGATGTCAGTGCTTATATCCCAGAGCACCTGAGCCAGCGAATTGTACAGTAACCCTTGATTTTCTTCATAGGATAAGGCCATGTACAGCGGACTTCTGAAAATATCCATTTTCTCGTGGGCGATTGTAAGATTATCTTTTAATTGCTACAGAGAAGATATTCAAATACATTTCTTACAGCCACTCTAGAGCTGTCAAAATTTATTTTATATTAATCAGAGTATCAAACTTGTTGGAGCAAGATAAATTTAGTTCATTTGCTTATTGTAAATTCAAATTAAAAAAATGTAGTGAATTTATTCACAGTTTGTGACTAAATCATGAAACTAACGTCAGTCTTGAGATGAAGGTTTCCAAATGGATACCTGGTTTAAGGTGAAAGATTTTGTGTTGATTTTTGGCGGAAAGCGGCTGAAGGGTGGCTCGAAAAGATAACTTGTTGAGTTGATGAAGTGGTACAGATTTCTCATCTGCAATAAATAAATCAATCAATAAAAATAAATAAATAAATAGATATTTAGATAGATAGATAGATAGATAGATAGACAGATAGATAGATAGATAGGGAAAAAAGATAAAACATTATCACTTTACAATAACAGTCTACGAGAAACAAGACTTAATTTCAACCGTCTCCTCGAGCTGCAAACTCCCGAGTGAGATTTCTGCATCAGATAGCCGCTAATGCCGTCCAGTGAAGTCCAGTCTCCTCCTCCTTATATGTTCATTGTAGAGGAAGATGATGCATCATTGTTTTGTAAGGGTAAATTATCTAGTTTATTCCCGTGAGAATGTTTCCCTCGTTGACGTTCATTCAATCATATATATTCTATCAAAAATCACGGCATTCTTTTTTTGGGAAAAAATGACTCACGTGAACAAAATAAAATGTTGTATGGGTTAAGAGCCGCAATACTGCGATCGTTTAAAGAAGAAAATTAATTTCAAGACTTCTTAAGATTTTGTTTCTTGTACTCCCTTTCGGTTTTGTAGCCCATCTCAACCTTGAGGCCAAATATTGTGGGAATTGCATTCGGACTGTAGTAGAAGTTCCTCAACAGGAGCGTTGGTTGTTAGTCAAGGGTACAGTTTCAACATGTTATAGCAAATCACTTTCCTTAAGTGTGTTATAAGCCATTTTTTGTAGATATGATATTCCAAGTCGCTCAAAACATTTTAATTTGCGGCCCCGGCGTCATTTGGAGTAGTGATGAGCCATGGATGCAATATGTCTTTAATGGCACTTGCTAAGTTTAAGACATCAATGTTTCTTTTTGGCACCACTTTAACGGGAATATAGTGTGGTTGTTGATACCATAAAGATATCAATCATACATGACTTGCTTTATATTGACCACCGATATGTATAAATGAAGCAAATATTTCGCTATAGCCGTTTAAACTGTTTTCAATTAAAGGGATACTTAGCTTTATTGTTTACAACTTCTCTTGTTCAGTAACAAAAGCATGCACTTGGACAAAGATCATTCTACCTATTGTCAGTCCTTGCCAACGGGCTGTGCGCCTTCTTGTATGGCAGCTAGTTTTAGACTCTTCGTGCCAATCATGAACGCAAACTCAACATATTTCATTACGGACGTACCTCAGACGCCTCAAAAAAATTGCCGTCTCACTTTTAAAGTATGTTTTTCTAATGGAGGATGAGCGAGTATCAAAGGAGCCCTCTGTATGGCGAGCTGTCTCAGGGAACTCGCCCGACGGGCAGAACACAGGTTCGCTACAAGTATTACTTTATTGGAGGACTCAAAGTCCTGCAGACAAACATCCAGATATGAGAAAACACATCTTCTGAAGGGCTAATTAAGAAAATTTGAGGTGTCGTTGGCTTTGAAGGTATATCAAATGAGACAAGGCAGAAAAGAAAGAGAACTCCAAAGCGACGACGCCAACTATATCTTCTCACATTGCGGAAGAGACTGCCACTCCCGTTTTGAACTGTGCAGTTGCGGAGGACGCTGATGATTCCTGGTAGGAATAATGTCCCAAAAGGACATACCGATTCCGTTTCTTCAAACCTTCTTTTGACGCTGTTTTTTGGCAAAATGAGACTGGTTTGTGCAAATGGTGATTCCCGAGCGAGTTTATAGGTTCCGTCCGAACGGCCTTGTTTACCACTTGCCAAAGAAACGTGGACCGACCTCTTCGCCCATGTAAATGGTAACCACCAAGAAGTCCTTGGAAACAAATATCCCTGAGTTCGATTTGGCCAGTTGCTTTATTCCCCAGATTTCATAAAATCACTAATTTAAGGGGCACCAAATTTCTCAAATTGAGTTAATCCGTAGTTTAGGGTTAGCTGAAAGTAGATCGGTCTCAGTTATAGTCAGTTATTATATTTCATGATCCATTTCCCTTACCGTATTGTTTAGTACCCCACTGTAAAACTACAAAATTAAGTGGTCAGAAAAAATGCAAGAATAATTGGATGTAATTATTTATTGTTAATGTAACAACAGCATTCTTACAATTACATATCGTTGCTAATAAAATATCTCTTAAAGATTACAACACAAACTGAACCCAGCCAGTCGTGACAAGTAAAATTTTTTTCTCTCACAGAGAGCCTACAATAAACGTCTTCATGAGAAGCTACTAATAATTGGCCATAACGAAAAAAATTAAATATCGGGCCGACGAGGTGCTTTCGATCACAAAAAAGCTAGTCCATTTCAAAGATCAACACGTTTGGAAATATTATGCTTTGTCATGCAAATATTATTACGTTAAAGTGAGTATAAATGATCTCCCAGTCATTTAATGCTCTATGGTATCGTTTTCCTGCCATTAGATTCCGCTGACACAGATTGAAGCCTCTTCGATGACACTACTGAGAGAGTAGAGAATGACGTAATTCCGGTAAATCTTGACTACATTGTCATTGATACTGAGGTTCTGTAAGAAAACCAGGATTTGAAATCATTAGTATACCACGATTATACGGTCTACATCTACAAAATTGATTGCATACTGTTGAATAGGATTGGATACTGTTAAATAGGGTTGGATACTTTTAAATAGGGTTCTATATCGGAGGACAAACCAATCTGCACCCCTTTCCCAAGTTCCTAATCTAAAGTTTAGTTTTTTTCCTAAAGTTTAGTTGTTTGTTCTTGCCTACAGGTAGCTCAGCACAACATTGTTTGCAGGGGTTGGGGGATTGAAAGCTCAATTTTCCCCCCTTGAGGTAGATAGTGTCGGTAAACCGTGAGAAATGTCTTTGAAGACAAAGTGCCTCAGCCTATATTCATACAAGGGATTTATTAAGTTTCCAATAACTCTGTCATTATATTTTTAACTTATGATAAATAAACTACCAAATACAGACAGATGAATTTTCTAAGGTCTGATTTCTAAGTCATGCGACCTTCAGCGCACTTTACTAGCGATCGTTTTTTTAATCTCCTGTTGATATTAAAGACCCTGCTAGCGCTATCTAGTATTCTAGTTGTATACGTACCACAATACTATTGTCAACAAGACCTTGAAGGAAATCGCGAACATAGCGATTCAGGTTTGACTCCGAGATTTCAGATGTAACAGGTGGCACAGAAATGGCTCTTTCTCTCATCTGCGATGTAAAAAGAAACCAAACCATTATATAAGTTATGTAAGTTAAATGTTTTAGTACCATTTTGGCGAAGAAAAGTGCTGTTATCTTCAGACGGGTGGTTTATAAAAGTTATAATAATTATTCGTTTTAGTACCGGCCATCCTCATGAGGGCTCCTCGGTGAAGGGCCCAAACTATAACTCTATTAGCCACCTACTTTCAATCATCGTTGCCTTGTTCAGTCTGTAAGGTAGTAGTGAGTCTTCCTAGTAAGTGATTTTTTAATCCTGAGACGACAATGTGTGGTCACACCAAAACACTGCATTTCACGTCCATAGAACTGGTTGATGAACAAATTATTTCCACATGAAAGAGAAATAGGAGGCTAGGAGGACGAAATTATTGTTCACTTGTTGTATTATCATTAATCTGTTTCTTTTCCAGATTGTGTATCCTCGTCAGCTATTGACTATATATAAATATCTCTTTATTATAAGCGCACGAAAGGGCAATGTCTACTGACTCAACCTTAAAATAAATTGTGCGTCAAATTTCTCATAAGCAGGAGACGATAGCTGAAGATTTTTCATGTCACAAATTCTCAAGTGACTTATCTAACTTTCATCTGTATTTGCTCCTTCCCTCCTTCCAATGTGTTGACTCGCGTATTTTTTAAATGGTAATAATCGTCAGTTAACAATGAGAGAGGTGTACCATGACAAGTATTTTTACAAATATGACGAGTATTGTAGCTTCTTACCTCTCTGATAAGCATAGCTGTTGTAGCATTCACGAAAACGCTGGTGTCCCAGAGGGCATCAGCCAGTATACTGTGAAGCGGTCTTTGATTTTCTTCATAAGAGACGGCCAAGTAGAGGGGACTTCTAAAGACAGTCAGTTTTTTGTACGCGATAGGAAGTTTGTCATTCCATGCCTGAAAAGTTAAGATAAACTAAGTTGGGAAAAAACCTTGCAGACCTTATAGTGCTGTTATTAAGTTATTTATCCGGCAATTAATCTTGGAAATCTAACAATGACAAAGTGTATTTACGGGAAGGCTTGAAATTTATTCCCATGCATAGAAATTCACTGGACAAAAAATGGATTTACATCAAATTTGCTTACGGCCGATGTAACGCTTGAAAAAAAGAAGCAAATTGATGAGCAGTAAATCAGGGGCAAACATGATAAATATCAAATTTGCATTACTAATTTACACCGGGTTGGAAATTAGGAAACAAATGTAGAATTTATGATCTTTTCCCCCGATTTACTCATCATATCTGCCCTGGGCAAACTTGGTAAGAAAGCTATCTTTTTTCCGGCGTCCACTGAAATACAAAGCAAGTGGGTTTAAAACAGCTGGAAAATCGGCAGATTGTTTACTGAGACAAATCGTTCACGGAATGGCAACTTCTCAAACGACGCAATAACATTATGTGCTTTTTCTGACTGGCTAAATCTCTTTAGTAAAATCCAACTAGTGGTCTATTATCAATGCTGCGTTCTAATTGGTTGAGCTACTTCTAGGCTATATGTTATAGCCCACTAGTAGCGTGAAGTGCCTGCTTTGAAAACCAAAAGAAGGGCTTTAAGTCTAGCTTTAACAAGCTAAAGTTGTTTTGTCTCGATATATTTGACCAACTAGTTGGATTTTACCAAAACAATTATTCCTCTCTCCCTCATGGCCTCTGAGTCAATTGCCCATTCGGCCTTCGGCCTCATGGGCTATTGACTCACAGCCCATTCAGGCTCTAGGAATAATTGTTAATTACCTTACTCAAATTTACAGTACGGCTTTTCAGTATGTAAGATAAATAAAATCAAGTAGTTGGAAACCTGATTTGGGAAACAGCTATTCGCGTTGATGTTTGGAAGCACAAGTCCTGCATCTTCAAGGTAGCTTGTGGAAGTGATAAATTGATACAAGTTTTTCATCTGCAAAAAAGTAAACCGTAAAGGGAGCTGCCAGCTTAATTATCTTTTTACCAGTAATGGAGGGAAGGGTGACCACAGTTCCACTGCAGTAATAGGAAGCACGCGTTTTGCAGTGATGAGAGAAGTCTTCCACCTTTGTGGCCGGGTTTGATTCCAATTAGTTTCCCTCGCAGCCGTTTTTTGGATGACACACCACGCTCCTCCAAAAGAACTCCCCCAAAAGTTCCTTTTGGGGAGCGTTGCGTGACATCCAAAAAACGGCTGCGAGGGAAACTAGATTCCATAGGTGGGTTAAGGTTTTTCTCCCGGTATTCCCTATCCAGTTTTGCCCTCCCCGCCAAAAAAATCCGGAAACGAAGATGCTCCGTGGAATTTGATATTCAATAATTTGTATTTTATTTATTATCCGAGAGCTTCGTTCACAACCTTGTTTTCCGCCTGGCGGAACTGTTATATGAAGGGAAAAAACCCTTACGGAACCTTAGCGCATCGGGCCTCACATTACATATACTTTCATTTCATCATATACCTCAATTAAGAACCGAATTATCGCCGCAGGACGGCTGACAAATGTTTTGGCTTTATTGCAAAATGCCTCTCTATTAGAATCCCCATCATGTCACCTGGTATTTACCTCAGAAATGTTGCCTGTCGACGGGAATACTTGTAAACCATTGTAAACAGTAGTATTTCATAGAATAACAAATTAGAACAAATTAAAGATACTTAATTAACTAACTTTTTTCATTAGTGCGTCATGAATAATTAAAAAGTAATTGGCCAAATCCCACACGTTTGGCTATCAAAATTGGCTACCTTTGGCAATCGAAAAAAAATTATTAACACAAAATACCTCTAGAGTGGCGTTAGTAACCCTTGAAGGAATCACAGCAGTGACGAGGAGTTCTAATGTGCTCGGGGTATTGTGTACTGGAGCACTATGAGCCACTGAGTTAAACGTTGCAGCTGTTATGGCTGCGATAATGATGTTGAGAATTTCCATTTCTTCCCTGGAGGGAAAAAACGGATTTCACATTCATTGTTTATATACTGGGTTAACAAATGACGAAAGAATTCCGTTAAGCTGCGTAGCACTTTAGAAAATAGAAGTAACAAAAATGTTCATTAAAAAGAATAAATAAATCATGAACAAAAGTGCCGTGTTTAGGTTGAAGTTATCCTTTCCAAACGTTTCGGGCCTGGCCCTTCATCAGTGGAATTACCAGTTCCTTGAAACGGTTGCTGGGTTATATGAGAAACAATTTTTTGTAGAGAAAGAACTAGAATGAATGGTTCACTTTGGCGAAGGATATATCAAGGTGATGTAGTTTATATGTAATGAATCTTCTGCAAACTTCCCTTAGAAACGTCCCAGTTTTCTCTAAGTCAGCAGCAAAGCCGGCTTTAAATCAAATACCTGCACCTATGACAAATATCAGTTGTACCCAAAAAGTGCCTAACCGCGTAACGCGCTACTTACCAATCGTTTCGTACTTTTTGCCTTGCAATGAATTTTACTCCGTATATGTTTTGAATGCATGGTGTGAGTTTCGCTTATATAGTAACTTGTGAGGAAGAAGAATCTTTTCTTTCCCGTCATTTTTCAGTTAAAGTGATATGTCAGGTATATTCTAGTTACTCTTTGTCCCTTATTCTCTGACTGTTTGTAGCGCAAATCATGTAAGTATTCTTGGAAGTTCCGTCACGTTTTGCTGCAGAAACCCGAATCTGTCTTGATGCAAAAAATGAAATAAAATAATAAAAAATAATAATAATAAGTAAAAATAATGAGTACTTCATTTTATTATTCAATCATGGTATACATTGATTTGACGGACTCACTAAAGAATCTAAAATAGTTATTGTCTTCTGATGAAATCGGTGATGATCTATACATTTCAAAACTAAGTCAAGTTTCTTTTAGCGCAAAATGAAAGGGGAAATCAACAGACAAATTCCGGGAAATGGCCTCATTATACCGAAACAATCCAAAGTATTAACAGCAAACCTATTTCCTTTTTGGGTGGTTTGCAGTTTCCATTTTTATTTGTAGATGGTGACATTTGACTCTATGAGCAGTGAATGTTGTAGAATTAATTGGATTTACTTATTGCCATGGCGCTCTACCAAACCACGAACAATCCTTCAACTTGGGTAAAAGTTAGGAAGATGCGTTGTATCTGTGTGAGATTGTTAACCTTTGCAACACCATATATGGTCATTCTTTCGCGTTACACAATTACACCATGACCACGGGGATCTGAGAAACGGATTAAGTCTGTTTATTCAAAGAGGATTATAAGTTTGAAAATACGTAAGGTCAGCAGAACGAATGTAGCACGAATAAAGCGTAATTAAATTGTTACTAGAGTCTAGTAACATTCGATTAGTTCAACTAAATTAATTCTAACCGTTAAGTAAGTATTTTAATGAACACGGTAGCTTAAAAAGCCTTATAAAATGTTTTCAAAGTGAGTTGCAACAGAACTAACTGGTCGTATACTATATCTTCATCTGTGTCCGTGCTAGCCGCGAGTTGTTCAATACATGGTCAACACATTGCAATGGTCAATACATTGCTTAAGGTTATAGTATGTGTCCATGCCCCAACTGGCTCGTGTTAGCTTTTTTATCGCGATTGAAGAAGTTAACTAAATGTAGATATAGAACACCAACTGAGGAGGGAAAAATCATTAGTACACGTCAAATATAGAATTTTTATTTTGTTTGTATATTTGCAGTCTTTTTAGCTATAAGTTAATGTTCCTTCTATTGAGCCTATGTTCCTTCCTGACCATATGCTGTTTATATAATTTTTTTGTGAATTGCTTAGTTCCTTTATAATAAGTACTTATTGCTCGTTGCTTTCTTTTACGACGAGCCCACACAGATCACGTTCTATTTTAAACAATTAGAATCGCTCAGTCACACGACATCTCCTTGGGCTTGCCGTGACTCATCAGAATATATTCTTAAGCACGAACTGTACGCAATTAAAGTCAATTAACTTTTTAACCCCCGTTATTATCACCAAAATTTTCCTCACAGTCCTCCCAACATCTCTTATGAAACTGCTTGGGAGGATTTACCTCTAAATCAAGACTTTTTATTTTTGATGACCATTTTATTCATTCTCACTACATGTATGTTTGATCAGGCAGTGGAATTGTCAGGAGAAATAAGATACTATTTTATTTACATGAGTAAAATTTAAGTGCGTTAATGTGCGTAGCCAAAAACGCGTCAGTGGAAATCAACCTTAAGCCTATCTTTGCTTTTTAAATCTTTAATTCTGCATTTATCATTATTCTATATTGTACCTCACACAACAGTTTCTACATTAAATCTGTACCTGAATACGATTTACTGTGATCCTCTTTGTTTATATCTTTATAAATTATCTATGAGATAGTTTATTCGTTTCTTTGCGGCAAGTAGTAACAATCACCCTACGTTCTCACCTCTTCCCTCTGAAATCGAGAAAAAAGAAGTTAAATTTTCTGTTTTGAATAATCTTTACTTAACTCTTTTAAGTGCTATTAGTGACTAGAGGCGATTAATTAAGATAAAAAGTGCTGAGCTTAAACGAGAAGTTGAGCGAGGTTCAACTTTTACGCTTACTAGCAACCCTTCATGCATTGCCTCTATTTTATTTGCGAACATAAATTTTACGCACGTACGCACGCAAAAATTACGCGACAGTGGAAATCAACCCTTAGTCTTCAGATGCGCTTATTTTTTCATGTGTCTTAACGGAGAGGAACTTTTTTCACCTGTCGCCTCAACAGAGAGGATCACAAACATCGTTCTTCTCTAACAAATGCCTTTATTCATAGTATTTTTGTTTTTGCACTCGTCAGTAAAAAAAGATTGAAAATAAAAAATGGCAGATGTAAGATCTCAGAAGTCACGAGATAATGCTGAACTCTTGGATCATTCTTAAAGCAACCGAGGAGAGTGGAAATTGAAAACCATATTTTAAAAAAATTGCTACATGTAATGTTGTGGGGGATTTTACAGCAGAGCCACAAAAAGTATATTTTTGTTGGTCAGGTCTTTTATAGATCCTACGTTTTGCGGCATATTCGTTTGCGGTCCTTTGCAGTTTAAATGTCCATTTACTACATGTAATGTGTCCGCAACACCCAAACTGAAGCGAGAGTTATACCAATTACGTAATAAGTTATTCTATATGAAGCGCTTATAACGCCTTGTTATGCCATTCATTGGTGGCGAGTGTACATAATTATTGCATAATTTATGCAATTATTATGCATATTCGCCAAGTTATTCTCTTTAACATCAAAGAGGTCAACTACAATCAATACATCTTCCTATATTTTAATCCACTTAACTTATTTCTGCATACATTACATACACTACCTACAATCACTACACCGAAACGTAGTGGGGAAGGAGTGTAGTGACTATTAGTGGCTATTATGGACGTATGTGAGCAACGTGGTGAGTGTAGTGGTAAGTGCAATGTAATACAGGGTGCCAAGTGAGTGTTATACGCGTTGCGGATGCCGCATAGTGAGTGTAGTGGATTTAGTGATAGTCGTCTGTGTCGTGAGTTTAATGGGTGTACGTGGTGAATTGAATGTAGTGAGAGTGATGATGCAGTGTCGGAGAAAGTAGATATCATGAATTGACTCTTTGTAGTGAGTATTGTGGATTTGGTAGATAAAGTGATTGTTCTGGATGTAATGTAATGAAGTGTAGGCAGTGTGGTAGGTGTTGTGGACGTTTTATGGTTAATACAGCGAATGACGTGGATGTTATAGATGAAGTTAGTCTAGCATGTTTGGTAGATGGATGTAGTGGTTAGTTTAGCGGTCGTACTGCACCAGATGTGTCGGGTGAAGTGGATGTGACGAGTGCAGTTGATGTGGTAGATGTAGAGGAGCAGATGTAATGGGTAAGTTGAGTGTCGACGTTCATATCATGGCTGTTGATAGTGTAGTTAATGTTCTGGATGTAGTGGGTGTAGCGAGCATACCGTCATAAAATTCGGGATCCGAAAATAAGCCCCTGGGCTTATATATTTTTTTAAAGGCCCTTTTTTAGGGGCTTATTTTTGTAGGGGCGTGTATTTGGAGGGGCTTATCTACGGGGGGAAATTTGCGTTTCAAAATCGATTGGGCTAGCCTTATAGCTGGAAGGACATTTACCTTTCTCGCTTTGTTGTACTTTGTATTTGAGGGCAATTTCCAAGTACACGCCCCCCGGGGTGCTCATATTTGGAGGGGCGATTTAGCGGAGGATTTTTTGCGTTACAAATTTGGGGAGCTTGTATTTGTAGGGGCTTATACATGGACGGGCTTATTTTCCGAATTTTACATTTGCTGTAGTAGCGGATACAGTAAATATAGTAAGATGAGTGTAGTGACAGTATTTTTAGTTGGATGAAAGGGATGTACTTAATGGTGTGGGGGGTGTAGTGAGGGTAAAAGATGCACTTAGTATACTGGATACTGTAAAGGTAGTGGATGATGTTATGTTAATCCGTTACAATATTGAAAAAAATCACTTGGCTATTCAAAGAAAACATCCTAGCAACGTGAGATTGCCGAATTTTCTTGTTCTCTATTTGTGTTTTGTGTTCTAGTTTTGTGTACTTTTTTTCACGTGTTACGTGAGATTGCGGAAGTTCTTATTTGTGTTTTGTTTAATTAGTTTAAGGGTACTTTTGTTATCACGTTTGCTGTACTTTATTTTGTCAGCCTTTTCCATATGCGTATTATTTTCTGTAATTCTGTTGTCGGCTTCGCGTCACTTAATAGTTATTAGAGAGATTAAGATTTACGTTTACGCCAAACGGCAAAAGTCAGATTCAAGTGGAGGATTTCTCAGAACAGAAATTAAGCAGATAAAAACTGTCCAGAACAATTCTTATGTATAAAACTTGGACTTGGAAAAAACTCGGTCACGTGGTACAAATTCACGTTTGCCGTTTGGCGTAAACGTGAATCTTAATTTCTCTATTGTCAATTTAAAAGTTTTATTTTATGTCCATGTAAATCATTCATTTTTTTGTATTTTTTGCTAGCTTTGTTATTCGTTTTTTGTACTTTAAGTTATCTTTTTTGCAAGTTTTCAAATAGCTTTTTATATTAATTCCGTATTGTTTGTTTTTTTTTTGCTGTAATTTTGCTATAGTGAATCATAAGTAAAAGACGAATTCGAACTGTACGTGATTCATTACATAAGAGCTTCTCCTGTCTTTTTCCGGTCCTTTCTTTTTACTTGCTTTTAAAGCTTTGTGTTACTTGTTTGCTCCTTTGCACTCGACCTTTTCAGTCACGTGTGTCAGCTGTAATCTAGTGTAAATAATACTTTGGCACTTTATTTTCCAAACATCAACTGAATGTAGGGCAAAGAAAATATAAACCAATTAATTTTTTTGTCGCTTTATTGTTAATTTAACAATAAGACGTTTACAGTGGTTTGTCATAATTAGAATATCTATAATAGATTACAATATCAACTGATCCTGATCAGTAACAAGTACAAGTTTCCCCCTCTCACAGAGAGAGCCTACTGTAAATAACTTCATAAGAAGTACCTCAATATTCTTTGCTAAAGAAAATAGAAATAATTGTTCTTAGCCAGAAAAGGCATTTTCGTTGATGAAGTAGAAGTACAACATATACATTAAAAGTTTAACTATAGGCTGCGAGTTTTTTTTAATTTTTTAATCGAGTTGAATTTTTTTATGCCTGCATAATAGGTCTATTGTAGTTTTTTTGTTAATATGTCTATAACCTTCAAGGTACTTTTTCTTGTTGCTTTTTTCTAACGGCTTACAAAACTAAATAAATAATCTTAATATGGTAACAAAAGATTTTCTAATAAATATTTTCAGATATAAAGTTGATATTCAATTTGACTAAGGAAAAGTATTGGTAATCTTGCAACTGCCAGCAGGCTGCAATGCGATTGTTTTTGTTTCGTATTAGATCCCTCTGACACAAATGGAAGCCTCTTTGATTTCACTATTCAGCGAATGGAGGATGACGTAATTCCGGTAAGCCTTGACCACATCGTCTGTTATACTTAGTGTCTGTTGGGAAAATGAAATATAAATAAAAATGAAATAAAAAATACGGCAATTTGAATAAGTCAGTAATTTCTAGTCTTATGGTTTGCTGTTAAATTTTAACCTCACACTTAGCGTAAATTTTAACAAGGAACTCATGTTATAGGTTGATACGTATTC